TGATACTTAATATGAACAGAGTTGTTAATTGACATCCATCAAAGGATATCTAGACAGAGTTTGCAAACTTTTTTTATAAAGGACTGGATAGCAAATGTTTTGGCTTTATGGACATTTAGTTTCTGTTGCAGATACTCAATTCTGACACTGTAGTGTGAAGGCATTCACAGACAAAATATAAACAAATGACTGTGACTATGTTCCTATAAAGCTTTATTTATAAATAGACACTGAAATAAAATTTCATCTAATTCTCATGTGCCAAAAAATATTATGTTGTTTTTTCAACCACCGAAAAGACAATGCATATACCATTTCACTAAAATGTATACACCATTCTTAGCATATTAGCTATATAAAAACAGTTGATGGGTAGTATTTGATCTATGGGCAATAGCTTGCTGAAGCCTGATCTGAACCATTATGTTTCAAATAATTCTTAATTAAAATATAGCTTTTTGGTTTTCAAGCAAAGTATATTTTTAAAACAGTTTGTTGTTACCCTTTCAAATGAAAACACATTATTCTTCATTATCAAAATTTATAATTTCCAACATGTAAGATTTATTAAAACTTTAGGAATTAAGAAAAATGTTTTAAATCACCCTTTCTCCATTAACCTAGAGGGAAAAATAGGACAGTTACATATAACTTAAATTTATTTTTAATTTTACATACCACAGATGCTCCTCTGCCAGTCTGTGTACTACCAAGCCATGGCATGTTGATTGGAGTGCCAGGATTGCTATGTGTATATGGAGTTGTACCTTGAACAGCTGTTAAATCATCACGAGCATGTATAACCAAGAAATCTTCTGATCTATAAAGGAATGTCAACCAGAATAAAATGAACTCGTTTATTTCTTTTTTACACTTGAAAGCTCTAAACTTTCAATTTATATTTCCCTATAAAATTAATTTTTTTCAGTTCTTATTCCTAACTCACACACAATGACCTCACACCTGAACAACTTCTGTTCCCTTCACTTACTCTGCTCTCAATTCCCTTGTTTAAAGCTCTTGCCACCCCTCATTTAGGACATCAGCTTCTACTCTGCTTACAATCTATAAAGTATTGCTTAAAAGAATCTTTCGAAAGTTATAGATGAGTGGATATAGTTACTCATACTGAAACATTACTAAAAAAAAACAAAGGATGAAGGTACCTACCCTTTGGTTTCCATTTCTATATCATCATCTACCCAAGTGTAGATCTGTGTGGCTAGAATTCCAGAAACGTCCAATTCTTGAACATCATGACTGGAAGCGATTGCTATGCAGTTTCTATTTGCCTGAAAAATAAGTCAAAGAGTAATTTTAAAAGAAACAGGCAAAACAGGTATATGACCTGCTTGAGAAAACGGCAGTTTTGAAATAACCTCTAGAAATAACTAAAGAACAAGATATACAGCATTCTTACTTTTAGTGAAATAATAAGCTTCAGTTTGCAGATATGTTTATGTTCTAGGAAGAGTATATCCAATAGAAAGCCAATATAAATGACAATACATGCACCATTTTATTTCTTCTCTCAGTACTGTCTTTCTAGATTGCTAGAATGCTATGCTCTCTCTAAGGTTTGCACAATTCAGAAACGTGGAGGAAGATGCTGAAAAAGATAGGAGCCCTGTAGGGTAGAGAAAGGTGAGGGCAATAAGGAACTCCAAAGTAAAAACATAATTATTAATTATTCAAATAAAACAACTTCCTCCTAAAGCTTTTCAATCTTGTGGGGCGGGAGGAAGGAGAGGGTGACAAGATCACAGAAAAAAGGTATAGGGGCAGAAAAATAGTGGGAGAAGTATGCTAGAAAAGATTGCAAATGAAAAATTGGTAAGATTAAATGATATGAAATTTTAAATGCCTATGAATCAAAAATGTACTTGGCTGAGTGCAGTGGCTCACATCTATAATCCTAGCACTTAGGAGGTGGAAGCAGATGGATAGCTTGAGCTCAGGAGTTTGAGACTAGCCTGGGAAACGTGGCAAAATACTATCTCTACAAAGAATACAAACATTTGTTGGGCATGGTGGCATGGGTCTGTAGTCCCAGCTACTTGGGAGAATGAGGTAGGAGGATTGCTTGAGACCGAGGTCGAGGCTGCAGTGAGCCGACACTGCACTGCAGCACTGGGCACCAGGCATGAGACTCTGCCTCAATCAATCAATCACTCAATAGCATATCTTTAAAACAGAAAACAGGAAGATACTGACAGCAAGAGAAAATAGGATTAACATTACTGCTATGTAAGATTCTAACACAAACTAATAAGAAAAAACTGAGACCTTAGAGATAAATGGAAAAATGATATAGCTAGATTTTTGGGTGGTAATTCTCCATGGGTCTCCCAAATTCTGCATGTTTTATAAGTGAGTCGTATCTGCCCTTTTTCCTGTAGTATCATTGCCAGGATGTTTGTATAGCTATAGCCAGAGCAAAGGGCAAGTATGCTTACTATCTATTACAAAAGATTTGGGTTCCCTAAACTCAGTGACCCTCTCCCATAATACAAACTACTATGTGTACAGGTAGGTATCATCTGGCCCTCTTCCTATCATTCTCTGGAAACTGTGTCTCAGGAAACCAATGTAAAATGCTGATTTTCTGGTTATTGCTCTTGCTGTTAGACATAAACTGTCCTTTGTCTCTGATCCAAGAGTCTTATGTCTTCCATTAGCATCCATTAAACTGTTTGATAAATCAATTAAGTGGACTGTTTAAACAATCCATTGCCTTCCTATAACAGAACTGTTTCTGTGAAAACTAACAGAAACAGAAACAGAAAGCTGTTAGTTTTAATTTAAGGTAAAATCTGAGACCCTCCATAGTTTTCGACACAGGTAGTTCCCAACCAACCAAATGGCAAAAAAAAAAAAAAAAAAAAAAAAAAAAAAAAAAAAAAAAAAAAAAAAAAAAAAAAAAAAAAATCTCAATGGCATTTAAAAAAATGCAATTTAAAGCAAAAGGAATCACCTGCAAATTTAGTAAGGGTATTAAAAATAGCAGATCTGGGGAAATAAAATTAAAAAGCCATATTCATAGATAGTACTGTAGACTTTATATATGTGAATAACCATTCATTACTAGTACTTATATATAAACCTCAAGAAGAAAATAACTAGTTTCTTTCATAGCATAGAATATTTTAAATCATATTTTCTTCAAGAAAGAACAGCTAATGCAGGTATAGATAATAATTTTTTTGTTGAGACAGGGTCTCACAATGTTACCCAGGCTGGCAAACTCCTGGCCTCAAGTGCTCCTACTGCCTTGGTTTCCCAAAGTGTTGGGATTATAGGTGTGAGCAACTGCACCTGGCCAATAATTCTGTACTTGACATATATATGTAATATCATGTTATACAGATATTACAACGGGCTAACGGGCTGAGTCCAGATTTGCCTGCTTCAAACAGAACTGTTTCTGTGACAACTAACAGAACTGTTTGAGGCAGGCAAATCTGGAATTAGCCCTTTAGCCAGTCATTGTTCAAGGTGTCTAAGAGGGAAATGAAGTGAAACACACAGAACAACAAACAAACTGTCCAGGAGAATTCAGAGAAGACAGACATAGCACCGAAAGACAGAAAACCAACAGGTGAAAGGATTACTAAATGGGTAATTTCCCTGTATATCTCATTTCCCTGTATATATTACAGGGTATGTATCTACATAACATTTAAAAATTATTTTAAAATTAGGAACCTATGATAATTTATTATATATATATGTATACCAAATCTCCTTTAGGTATATTCTATAAATACATTAAAAAAAGATACACATATCCTTTAAGTTAATGGAAAGAAAACAAAAGGGTAACTAGAAGTCACTAGGAACTATACAGTAAGGCAATTAAGGGAGATAGAAGGGGAAAATGATTAAGACAGATTTCAACCTTGGACCATAGTACCTAAGGTCACCTCTTCTGTGAGGAGCTTATAGACATCTAATGAGGGTGTTAAGTAGAAATCTAAGAAATACAAAAAAAAAATACACACACACACACACACACACACACACACACACACACATTGGGCAGCTACTGGAGGTATAAATCAAAGAGGGAGAATTTGGGTCACACATAAGCTTAAACCTAGCAAATATCCAAAACCACATTTAACATATTCATTAGGAATATTTAAAAAAACCTTTTCTGTGGGTTAACTACCACACTACATTGCATAAATTCTAAAGCTATCACCTATACATTTGGTACTTCTCTCTGCATAGTAATAAAACGTTATGTATTTTATAAGCTTTATTTCCAAAATCATATAATAACAAAATCACATTATCAAATAATATCATTTTATAATATAAAAAAAGTCTCCAGATTGCAATTTAAGGAACTGGAAGTAGCTTTGGGAAAGAAATACTGGGCTGGGCATGGTGGCTCATGCCTGTAATCCTAGCGCTTTGGGAGGCTGAGGTGGGCGGATCACCTGAGGTCAGGAGTTCAAGATCGGCCTGACCAACATGGAAAAACCCCGTCTCTACTAAAAATACAAAATCAGCCAGGTGTAGTGGCACATGCCTATAATCCCAGCTACTCGGGAGGCTGAGGCAGGAGAATTGCTTGAACCCCAGAGGTGGAGGTTGTGGTGAGCCAAGATCGCGCCATTGCACTCCAGCCTGGGCAACAAGAGCAAAACTCTGTTTTTTTTTTTTTTTTTTTTTAAAGAAATACTGAATAAACTGATAAAAAAGAAGATATTCTCCAACTATAAATACTTAATACACAAAAGAGAATGTCTATGTACTTACCTTATTAACAGCAAAGGCAGTAATGATATCAGATTCCTTATGAATAATTCTTGCTTTACCTCCAGGATATCCCAAATCTGCTTCTATCTAAATGAAAGAAAATACAAAAATGCACTGCTTTTAGTAATGGAACTAATAAGATATGCTAATCTATCATTTAGTACTTGCATGAATTATTTTAAGAAACTAGATACTTCAATTCTAAAGATATTACTGCATACACCAATTATCCCTAAAACAAAATTTGACAAGGGAAATTTAAATTTTTTCAAACTTGCTTTTTTTTTACATATAAAAAGACAGCTGATACAACATACAACTTCATTAACTGGTTGTCCTCCACAGTGAATTAATTTTAAAGGATCAACACATTCTAATTATTAAAGCAAAATGTATTTACCAAGTTTCTTAGCATCATAATTCTTTCATAATATTTAAAAAAATTTTAAAGGTCAAATAGTCAATATTTTAGGTTTTGCAGACCACAAAGGGTCACTGTTGCATTTTCTTTCAAACTCTTTAAAAATTCTCAGCTCATGGGCTATACAGAAGCAGGTGAGAGATTTGGCCAGCTGGCTTGTAGTTTACCGACTCCTCCTTTAAAATAACCTTTGATTTTGTCTCTCCCTAGAGCTTTGCCATTTGAGGCAGTTGCTGCGGTCCTGCAAGTTTGACCAGCATTGAAGGGTAGCGACATGGAGGAATTCGACTCCGAAGGCTTCTCCATGTCGGAGGAAGACGAGGATTACGTGCCATCAGGTGGAGAGTATACTGAAGATGATGTAAATGAATTAATGAAGGAAGATGAAGTGGATGGTGAAGAGCAGACACGGAAAACCAAAGGGAAAAAAAGAGAAAGAGCCAGAGCATTCCAACCAGGAAGAGAAGACAAGGTGACATCTCTTTAGAAGAGGAAGAGGAAGATGCCAATTCAGAATCTGAGAGTAGCAGCAGTGAGGAGGAAGATGAAAAGCAGGGCAGAAAAAAGGCATTGGATCAGAGGAGGCAAGGAAAAAGGAGAAGGATGAACTCTGGGCCAAATTCCTCAATGATATGGGACCAAAATCAAAAGTGCCCCCAAGTACACAAGTTAAGAAAGTAGAGGAGACTGAAGAGACAAGCTCAACTAAATTGTTAGTAAAAGCAGAAGAGCTAGAGAAACCTAAAGAAACAGAAAATGTTAAAATCACCAAGGTGTTTGATTTTGCCGGTGAAGAAGTAAGGGTGACTAAGGAAGCGGATGCTACATCTAAAGAGGCCAAATCCTTCTTCAAGCAGCACGAGAAAGAAAAACCACAGGCTAAGGTCTCTTCAGCTCTGCCATCACTCCCTGCCAGGTCAGGGTTAAAAAGATCAAGAGCAGCCTTTTGGGGAAAAGCAGTGCCAAGAAGCAGAAAATGAGCACCCTTGAGAAGTCTAAACTGGACTGGGAGAGCTTCATGGAGGAAGAGGTATTGGTGAAGACCTGGCCATCGGTAATCGAGGGAAAGAGGGGTACACTAAATGGAAAGCTTTCCTCGACGACAGGCAGTTTGAAACTGAGTGGGATCTCAGGCTAAGCAAAATGAAACCTTGACGTTACAAGCAAAATCAAGAGCAACTTAATCCTGTTTACAATGTGAGCTTTCTGTGCGTCTGTGAAATGCTTTCCAGTGTTTCTCATCGACTGTTTCCCAGCAAGGCCTTTTTTCTTCTACATTGAAGTTCTATGTATCTTAATCACAAATGGTTTCATTCACTTTACTTTTAAAAATTTGTCATTAAATGAATAAATAAAAGTTGGTACTGAAAACAAAACAAAACAAAACCAAACCACCACCTTTGATTTATAGAGAAACCTGAAATCCTGAAAGGCAAAGTAACTTGCCCTAGTGAGTAATCATTTTAGTAGCTAAATAAACTGTAATTCTGTGTACTTTAGATGAGGGACATGTATCTGACCTTCTGCTTACTCTAGAGAAATTATATACAATATCATTGAACTTAGAAAAGAATACTGTATAAAATCAACACTTACTAAAATAAGTTGAAAAGAGGAGGCAATAAAAGAGTTGAAATGTTGCCCAATATAGGACATTTCATTTTATCCTCCCCCTAATTTTTTTTTTTTTTTGGGTCCCCCAGGCTGGAGTGCTGTGGCCCAATCTCAGCTCATTGAAACCTCTGCCTCCCAGGCTGAAGCTATTCTCCTGCCTCAGCCTCCCAAGTAGCTGAGATTATATGTGCCTGCCACCATGTCCAGCTAATTTTTGTATTTTTAGTAGAGACTGGGTTTCACCATGTTCAACAGGTTGGTCTCGAACTCCAGACCTCAGATGATTCACCCGCCACAGCCTCCCAAAGTGCTGGGATTACAGGCATGAGTCACTGCACCCAGCCATCCTAACTTTCAATCTTTTAAAATGAATTAGGTTTATAGCTTATTGTGAAATGCATAAATTATTTGAAATCAGCATACAATAAATTTACTTCCTGCAAAATTTGACAATCCCTAGCCACTGACCACAGAACTGATCAGGATACACAGTGTTTTTAAAATGGCAACTAAGATCAGGTGTGGTGGCTCACGCCTGTAATCCCAGCACTTTGAGAGGCCGAGGCGGGCAGAACACTTGAGGTCAAAAGTACAAGACCAACCTGGCCAACATAGAGAAACTCTGCCTCTACTAAAAATACAAAAATTAGCCAGGCATGGTGGTGCGTGTCTGTAATCCCAGCTACTTAGGTGGCTGAGGCATGAGAATCGCTTGAACCCAGGAGGCAGAGACTATAGTAAGCCAAAATCCAGCAACTTCACTCCAGCCTGGGCAACAGAGCAAGAACCTGTCTCAAAAAAAAACAAAAAGGAAATTAAGATGACTGTTCAATTAGAAAGTTAAAACAGACTTATAACCAAACCAAAATATCCCTACGCAAACAAATATCAGTCACCAGATATAAATAATCAAATATAACCTAAAAGCGTAATTTGCTTACAAAGAATTTCAGTATTCACTGAACATTCTGGCTGACTTGAAGATAAACTTGTCTTCTAAGGAAAGTCTCAGCTCTGACTAAAAAAGGCTGATCATCCGGTAATGATGTACAAGTCAAATTCCATAATTTCATAACAAAATTCAAATTTACCCACTTACCTGCCTGGTATCTAAAGTATACTAAATGTTCACTCTTAGGTTTTCAAGAAATTATTGACAGAGAAAGATAATGGTTCCATGGAATAGAGGGATGTGTTTCTTGCTGGTAATGCTTGGATGGGGGATCATATCAGTTTCACCTGGAGAGCTTTTTCAAACTTTACATGTATGGGAGGAAAGCTCTTACAGGTATAAACTTCAAAAAACCTTTCTCTACATAGGAATACATTTGTGTCCTCATTATTTACTGAAAACTTTATTTCTCAATAAGGTGGTGTCAAGTTAACATAAGAATCAACTGAGATGATTTTTTAAAATACAGACTCTGAACCCCATGTCAGACACATAATCAGAATGTCATGGGGGTGGGTCAAAGATACAGTGGTTAGTATCTCAGGAGTCTTAAATTTCAGGATGACCATCAGTGGCAGAAGATAAGACTGGAGATAAAGGTAGAGGTTCCTTGAAAGACATAATCAAGAATTCAGATGCTGTTCTAAGGCAGAGAAACCACTGGTGGATTTTGAAGTCTGCCTATTGTGAGATAAAACATAAAGGGTTTGAGAATGACTGCCAGAAAACTGGTTAAAAAGCTACTATAGTAGCTGAATGGAGAGACCATGGTGGGTTGGATTAGGGCAGTAGGAATGGTGGTAGTGATAAGTGGTTGGAATTGGGATACATTTTGTTAATGGACTGTAATCATAATGTGTATAAAATAAGGAAAGAAAAAGGATGACTTGTAGTTTTCAGGCCTGACAGGTAGGTGAGTAAAGATACCATTTACTGAAATGGGCAGCAGTGAAGAAAACAGTGGGGGTAGGTTCAGAGTAGGGAATGTATGGAGTTCAGGAAATTAGTTGGGACTAGAGAGATTTGAGAGTTGTCAGCATACAGATAATATTGATATTTAAACCATAAGATAACCCAAAGAGAAAGTAAAGATGGGAAAGATGAAAAGTTAGAGAACTGAATTCTTAGGCAGCCAATATTTCAAGGATGGGAAAAAGGACAATTCAGTAGTTGTCAATTAGCTAACATAAGAAATAGAAGAGTTTGATATTATGGAAACTAAGTGAGGCAACAATTTTAGAAAAATGTTATGGATTGACACTACCAAATGATTACTCAGAAGCTGAATCATATGAAGACAGATAATTGACTACTAAATTTAGTATACTGGAAGTCAATGGTGACTGTGTTTAGGACAATCTCAGTGGAGTGGGCTGGAGATAATAACCTAACTAAATTAGAGAGGCTGTGATATCTGGTGAACAAGGAGGGGAGTCTACTGGGAAATGATCATAGAGATATTCAACTGATTGGATAATGTTTTATTTTTAAGCTGGGTAGTTTCTTTATGATGTTTCAACATTATTGTTTAAATCCTGAATGACTTTAAAAGGCAACTCTGTAAATGAATGTTTCTACATAGGAGACTAGAGAAATTCAGTATTTTTTTTTTGAGACGGAGTTTCACTCTTGTTACCCAGGCTGGAGTGCAATGGCGCGATCTCGGCTCACCGCAACCTCCGCCTCCTGGGTTCAGGCAATTCTCCTGCCTCAACCTCCTCAGTAGCTAGGATTACAGGCACGCGCCACCATGCCCAGCTAATGTTTTTTTTGTATTTTTAGTAGAGACGGGGTTTCACCATGATGACCAGGATGGTCTCGATCTCTTGACCTCGTGATCCACCCGCCTCGGCCTCCCAAAGTGCTGGGATTACAGGCCTGAGCGAGAAATTCAGCATTTTTTTAAAGGAAAAACAAAAAAAATATATTTGCTGATGCTAATGAGAGTAACTTGAGAGAGGTATATACTTATTGAGGAGAGACAGAGATGGTCTTCAGTTATAAAGAACTGAAGGCAAGTACTTGGGTAGGTGAAAGCAGATACGATCCATGCACAAGTGAAAGATCTGGCCTTGGATAAAGGGTGGCACTTCACTCACT